ATGTTATAAATGAGGAAACTGAGGCTAGATACGAGCCCAGCAACTTGCCCAAGGCCAGTAAGCTCCAAGTCACGAGCCAGAACTAGAATGTGGGTCTTTTGGGTCTAAATTCCATACTCTAAGCTGCTCTCATCTTCTGGGTGACATGCGCAAGGGCATCCTTTTGCCTCTCTCTCATTCATTCCCAGGAAGGCTTCTCACCTGCAAGGGTGCAAGAGTTCATCTGTCCTAAAGCAGAGTGGTATGAAGTCCAGGAGAAGGGAAAACAAAAGGAAAGGCATGGAGGAAAGCAAGAGGGCAGCAAATGTGAGGATCTGCTGTAGTCAGGCTTTTTTTCGAGAATAAAAAATGCATCTAGAGGAGGCCTGGGATCCTTTCTTTCCAAGCATATTTCTTTTTGGCCTACGTTGCTACAAGACTCCAAATTGGAGCTTGCCCTGTCTTTTCCAAAAAAAGCAAAGGGTTCCTTAGCTGCCAAGTCCTGTATCACTGGCTCCTCCCAGAGGTAGATTTATTTCCAGGTACAGAGCAACCATTTTTGGGATATATTATTTGATCAGAAGGAGTTTTATGCAGAATTCTATGATGATGAATAAGGTATTCTTAAGTCCACGAACGGTGATGTCGGCAGAAGCATCATGGGCAGGGGAGGCAATTTTGCATCTAGGAGGCATGTCTATTCCAGTGAGGACACATATCCCCCCACCTATGACTGGAAGGTCCAATGTAATCAACCTGCCACCAGGTGGCCGCCTGGACCCTGAGGAAGGTGCCATATTGGGGGCTCAGCGTGAGTCTCCACTGTTTGCAGGTCAGGCATGCTAGGGTAGAGTTGGCAGTAGTCACCACCAGAATACTAACAGAGGGTACTTCTGGGTAACAAGATGACAAATTGTTATCATTGCCTTTTTGCTGATTTATATTTCATAATTTCTCTACAACTACTCTGCATTTCTTGTACAACAAATAAGAAAAGGAAATTTTAAAATTGTCTACAGCAGTTATTTAATGTGTTTTGGAAACAGGGAGAGAGAGTAGGCATGGCCCCACTGGCATGTGCCTGTGAAACAAATTCCACCATGCTTATTTGATCAAGGTAATAATAACCGTAACTGGAGTATCATCTCTCCGCAAGCACGTTTCTGTTCATCTCATCCCGAGATGCTTACAACCCAGGGAAGTAGGCAGAAACTAAGGCTCAGAGAAGGTCTTTTGGCATCTCTCTCCTTACTCATTCCCCAGAAGGCTCCCCACTTTTGAGGAAGAAAGAGTTCATCCACCATAATGTGCAGGGAGAGGAAGACCAGGAAGACAGAAAACAAAACCAAAGGCATGGAGGGGCGGTATCCGGCGGCAGATTTGAGGACTAGGAAGTGGTTGGGTTTTCAAGGTCACAGGTGGAGGTTGTGCGGAGCTGGGATACAAAGCAAGGAGGGGATGCCACGTGCCAGCCTGGCCCTTGCAGATACTCCGTCACTGAACTCCATCTTGCTACCAACACCCAGTTGGTACCTGAGGCTCTTGGGGACTTTAGGCCTCAAAGAAGATTACTTCCAATGGAATAGAGGACGTTTGAATTCCTTTAGCGGGAATCTGTGCTATAGAGTGTTGAGATTACACAGTCCCCCAAATGGCACTCAACATACACCCCATTTGTCATGATATTTCCAAACTCCTTATTAGAAATCTGAACAACACTCTCCATTGACTTATAAAACCAGTGAAACAAATCCATTTCCGAACTACCTAGCAGTTTTCCTATCATTGGATTTAATTGGATCAGAGTTATGAATCTGATATTGACTTAATACCTTACTCTTTATGGGAAGCATGAACACAGTCCCTGCACTAGATCTTAAAAGATTAGTATTTGGTAGTTTGCAGTTCTCACTAACGTAGAAGCCTCCACATGTGCCTGAGGGTCCAAATTGTCATTTTGGAAATCTGAACTTTTGATTAATTGCACAATAATGAATTCTCATGTCTTCTTTCTATGTGGTCCTCGACTGGTCTCCTTTTATGCTTAGCCAGTGAGGCTGTTATTTTAAATACTGTCAAAATGTTTCTGTCACCATGTTGCTTAAGTTGCATCAAGTACTAAGACTTCTTAAGAATAAAGACTTTCACAATGGCAAAAGACAAAAACAAACATCTCACGCACAAACATACAGCGAATGGTTCATTGCGTGCTGGGCATTGTTCTGGGGGCTTTACATTCTGCATTCATTTATTCCTCATTCATTCACGCTGTAAATAAGTACTGAGAGCCTACCATACAACAGGCGTTCTTCTGGGCTTCAGGATAGGATGCTGAGTCACATGCTAGTTAAGATAATAGTAAACAAGCAAACAAAATGCAGATACAATCATTGTAAGCAGTGATAAATGTAATGAATAAATAAAACAGGAAGGGGTGGAGGGGGAAGGGCAACTTCAGAAAAGGTCAAATAAATATGAAGGGCAGAATTGTTTGCTAGGTGGTTGGGGTTGGACGGGGACAGCAAGTACACGTATGTGTTGGTGTGCTGGGGGGTGGAGGGATAACAAATTTCGGGAGCATGTTTTGGGGTGCCCAGCTTCCGTTTGGAGCTTCTCTCACCCAGGCAAGACCCCTCCTCTTCACTTTTCCTCCTTTTCAGAGTTTTGCCATGCCTTTTCATACTTACCATGCTCCGACTCGTTGCTGAGCATTAATCTACTCGTAAACATTTACGGGGGTCCTACTGTGCACAGAGTCACGCTTCCATATGGCAGTTCATGCAAGCTTCACAAAACCCATCCCGCAGCTCACTGACCAATGAATATTAATCTTTCTCCATCGGTTGTGGTGACTCTTCTTATTTTATGTTAAATTCTCATATTGGAGCCACTCTCTGGGCAAACTATTCTGTTGCATCAAGCAATTGATTTTTGTGCCAATACCACAACGTTTTAATGATTTCAGCCCTGTATGTAGTATAGTAGTTTAATTCCCTTCTTGAAACTCTACCCTTCTTGGTTCTGAGATTTCTGAGGTTCTCCCCTCTGACGGTCATTCATACAAGTCCTTCTCCTCCTTCCCCATCCCATACACTCATACTAGCTTCTCCCCTCTCCCCCTCCATCACTCTTTCCCTCCCCCATTCTTTCTCCCCTCCCCATCCCTTCTCCCCTCTCAATCCTTCCTCCAATCCTACCTCCCCCTCCATCCTCCCTTCTCCCCTCCCCTCTCCTCCTGTCCCCTTTCCTTCTGTCTTTCACTCTCCTTAGCCAACTTCTCCAGGCAAATCCAGAGCTGGCATCCACTGCAGGCCTTCTGATCACTCTTTTCTTATACCCTGGGGATAGATCCTTGGCTTGGCCTTGCTCACAGCCCCTTGCCTCCACTCAAGCCAGCGGACGCGAAGGGAGAGAGTGGGAAGTAAAGGAGGCACCAGGTACCACAGGGCAGCAGGAATAAAGGGTTTCTCTAATGGTGACCCTGGTGGAAGGGAGGGAGAGGAGTTAGGTTAAAAGTGCCGGACCCTCGCTGTCCTCTGCCCACGGTTTATGAGATCCAGCCCTGCCTAAGTGTGGCCTCGCCTTCCCCTGCTCTCCCCTGCACTCGATAAGCTCAAGCCTCGCTTCACCTTCGCACTTGCTGTTCTGCTGCCTGGAAGGCTCTTCTGTACATTTACATAATTGTTCCAGCTTGTCATTTAGGTCTCACCTCAGAATGTCGCCTTCCAGCCAATATAAAGAAGCTCCCCACGTCTAGCACAACAGGCTATTTTGTTTCTCAAAGCATTGACCAATATTGGCAATTATACTGTCATGTTTGTTTTTCCGTTACTGTCTTCCACCTTTCTAGAATGCAGGCTTTATGAGCTTTATGACCTCGTATGCCCTGGTCAGAGGACAGTGCCCCTGTCAGTAGAAGCTCACTCATGTGGGTTTAGTAACTGAATGAATGAACAGAAACTCGGGCAAGCGAGGGAATGCCTTGCCTAGAGCTTAAGTAAGGAGCGAGGCCGATTCCCGTGTTCTAGTTCTTCAGCCCTGTGCTCACCCACGCGGGTGGAGGTGCTATTCAAAGGCCAGGCGAGAGGAGGGCGGAACCACCCGCCACGAACCATGAACCCCAGGGAATAGGGAGCCACGAGCATCGCCACCACAGAGCGGGTGGGCTCGCCGTGCGCTCGGCTTGGCCAACCCAGCAACTGGGATTTCACTCCCAAAGCCAAGAAGCAGGGTTGGGAGGTAAAGAGAAAACGTAAAGCAGCAGCGGCCAAGAGAACGGGGGAGAGGAAGACAAAACCCCCCAGCCCTCCTCCCCTCTCTCTCCCCACCCCCCGCCCCGCCCGGGGAAAGCCCCGACGCCCACGGGAGCGCGGGGAGCCCCGCGCCGCGGCCGCGG